TTTTCTTACCTAGGCAATGCGGGGGCCATTTTTGGATTGAGACATAGTAGTTATTTTAGAAGAGTATTATAATAAATGCTCTTGGACTCTGTCCTTACTCTGGTACGTGTGTCTTCCCTTCCGCTTCATTCGAGGGAGTGAGATAAGGTAGTCGATCATGGGCATCGACGGAGGTGATTAATCGAACCGACCCGCGGTAATGTAGCCCTAAACGTCGTCCATAATGCCACGGAGGTGTGGAAACTGCGCTACTAGGTTTGACGTCTCCTTTGAGATGGCCGCCGCTGTTGAGATAACCTTTTGGTTACTCTAGCGGTACTACCTGTGTTGGTAGCTAGCAAAATCCCACAACTAGTGACAAAAGGGTTTCCCGTTTACATCGTTAAGGTTCGTTCAGTACAATGGTCCAATGTACTTCCGCACTACGACGAAAGTTACTGTTCCCGTTTTCAGTTGGACCATACTATTTGTGCTTCTTAGATTTAGGAGAGGTTGTTTAGTATGGGGAAGGCAGCTGAAGTCCAAGATTTTGACTATTTCACAGTAGCGGCGTTTCTTGAACTAACACTTCTTTTCATGGTTTGTTGTGGGTCAGTTAGTACTACCAATCGCAAGGGCGCCAATGCCCTTTAAATGCAGCTGCAAAACTATATGTCGATACCGGTTCTTTTCTTTGTATGAATTTTTGTGTAGGTTATTCACGAGATTATATTTATATTTATTAAAATAGATAATGAAAGAAGTAAAATTAAACTTCGAATTTCGGAGAATTGGCAATCTACGAAAAATAAACTTCGATAAACCCAGAATTTCTAACAAAAAATGAACGACGAACGTCAGGTGACGTGGCAGTAATTTTCCAGCCATATTTAGCGGGGAAACGTAACTAAAGTTTACGTCATGTGACGTCAATTTTTCCGCTAAATCTAGCGGGGAAACTAAACTTGTGTGTAGCTCACGTGACGTTAGGCCGCGTGACATCGATTTCCACGCCAAATTTAGTGGGGCAACTGAACTGGTTTATATAGTAGAGGCCGAGTCACTTGCAAACCCCACTGAAACTCGTTCGCGTTCGTTTGCAATGTGCCTATAAAAATGTTATTATATGCGCCTGCTATCGTCCGTCTAATGCCTTTGTAAGTTTTATTCTTGACGTCCACGATCTTTTTTATGCCATTTGTTCTAGGTTTCCTCTGGCACCCATGTTTTTCCTCGGTGATTTAACCTTTCCCTTTATTGATTGGTCAGGGGGATTTCCTACTAGTTCTTGCAGCTCTTCCCATTATAATAGGGGGATCGATAGCCGATTAAGCTCGCGCACACCAGCTTATACCACGTTGCACGAAAGTTTGTGCTGCAGAACCCAGGGATCCTGGGCTCGTTCCCCACCCCTGCCCGTTTCTCTCTGGGTGAGCATCGTACTGGCGTGTGGTCCTCTATCACTACTGCGTGATGCACGTTAAAGACCTCAGGCTGGCGGTTGTACCACACTGGCTAAATTGCTCATCTACAGCTTAGACACCAAACACCCATTGAGGCAGGCTAAAGTCCGGCTGTATCAACATAAACACACCATTTTTTTGTTTCTATTATAATGATTCCCTACTTTTTGTACCGAGTTTTGTTTTACACCAGTTGTTACCGAACCCACCCGGACTTTCGGTACAGCTGCCAATCTGTTAGATCACATGCTTACCACTGACTCCAATCTTGCTTCCTCAAGAACCTGTTTATCCGGTATTAGTGATCATTCCATTTTGGAGTTCACCTTGTAAACTCCAGCGTGTGTTTTCAAATAAACCACAAAATGTTTTGTAGACTACAATAAGGCAAATTTTGAAGAGATAAATATTGAGTTAGCTGGCCTCCTCAATTAGTATTGGCTTGCTTTTTCTAAACGTTCTGTTAAAACTAACTAGAATTGTTTGAGCAGAAGATAAACTCTCTAATTACCTCATTCATTCCACGCAGGACTGTTGTTTCTAACCTGTTGTGTCCTTGGTTTAATGTCAAACTGCAGCGTCCTTTTAACAAAAAGAAACGTCTTTTCCGCGCTGCGAAATTGTCTGGTTTTTATGAGCGTTGGGAGGCTTATAAAACAGCAGCAAATGCTTCTAAGCTAGCCATCGACAAGTCCAAGCTGGTTTTGTTTAATGTGACGCTTTCTTTTATATGCTATCTAATACATGTTACAAAGCAATTTTGGAATCTGGTAAACGGGTCAAAGAAAACTGATCTTACGCTTACTGGGCTTGGCGGTGTCAACATTCCGAAATACCAATGTGCTTTCTTTTAAAATGACGTCTTTTTAAGGTGTTTTTTTAGCGATATTATTTCATGTTTTTCAACGTATCCAAATCATGATTTTTTTTCCCTATAGATCAGCTTATATTCGATTATGATGAAAGTATAGAAGTTATCGATAATTTGAAATATCTACCTCTTGTGGTGCTGACAATATTTCCTCTAAATGTCTAAAGCACACTGAAACTTACATATTAATATTTCTTTCTAAGATTTTCGAACAATCCTTTAGCATTGCTGTCTTACCAAAAGATGGGAAAACAAGGAAGGTAGTTCCACTTCACAAAATCAGGTGACAAACGTAGTTCTCTTAACAATAGACCCATTTCCTTTACCAGCACGCCTAGTAAACTTTGAAAGCACATAATTTTCTCTCATCTCGTTAATCATTTTTAAATTAGAATTCTTTCTCTTCACCTTCACAAAGTGGTTTTCGCAAATCACTGTCCTGAAAAAATCAATTTTGGCTTCACTGATGACCTGCTTTCTGTTCTTTCCCTCTGATCCCGACTTGACTGATTATTAATCGACTTATGCAAGGCGTTCAACAAAGATTCTCACAAACTACTATTTTTTTTTAATTAGTAAACTTAAAATTGACCCCAATGTTGGGTCATGGATTCAATGTTTTCTACTAACTGATCGTTCGCAGGTAGTTACTACAAATGAAGCTAATTCTTGTATCATTCCTGTTACTTCTGATGTTCCCCAAGGGTCCATTCTAGGGACACTTTTATTTCTTATTTATATTAATAACCTACCAATCTGTGTATCCTTATCCATTAGTTCATTCGCCCACGACTGTGATCTACCGTGAAATGACGACCAAATTTGATGCCACACCTCTTCAAAGTGACCTTCGTGCGGTATCCAAATGGTGTAGCGTGTGGCAAATGTCTCTTAAAGGGATACTTCAACGAAATTTGAAATATTCCCGTCGTGTTCAAAAATAGGTTGAATATGACCCACAATATCCGTAAATGGAAATCGCACGTTTGTATTTTGATCCTGATGTCTGTATTTTTCGTTACAAACGGCCCACTCTGGCAAGCGCTCGGAGAAGGCCCAGCCTAGAGCACGTGACATCCAACGCAATCGTGACGTAGGTCGTCTCAAGACGAGCAAAGCTACGGCGAGGCTGACGTCGAGAGGATGGCCTAGTCGTTCCAGCCACCGAAGCGGCTGCTTTTGTACGAATTTTGAGTGACGGGTTAATCTTCTATAATCTTCTAGGGGGACAATAGCGACTTCTGCGACACACAAAAGGGATTCTCGGGAAGAAGGGAGTTCCTCCTTCCCCCCTTCTCTCGTCGTGGCCGGAGACGAGACAACCTCCGTCACTAGCTGTCAAGGTTCCTAGACGAGCATTACAAACGAGGCGCTAGCGAGATCCACCAGGTGCTCTTTGCTAATCGTTTAATTCGTTTTAAAATTCCTTTTCGAGACTTTTTTAACAAGATATTGGTATGTTCCATGTGATACTGCTCTTTTGAACACATATAGACCAAAAAAGGAGCGCCGAAATTTCGTTGTAGTATCCCTTTAAGACTAACAAATGTAAAGCTATGAAAACGTCTCGTGGAAACACGCACCACCATCGTACTCAATTTGCTTATACTGCACACATCATCGCCAATACTAATTATATACTTGAATATCTAAAAAGAAACTGCTCTTCAGCCCCCTTGTCCTAAAAATTAATTTTATTCAAAGCACTAGTTCGCTTAAAAATCGAGCATGCCGCAGCAATCTGGGGTCCCGGTCAAACAAAGCTCATGAATAACATCGAATCCATGCAACATCGTACAGCTGCAGTGCATTTCATGATCCGTAAATATCATGTCTCTTTTATGTCTTTTTTACAACATTCATAATTCTAACACCTCACTGAAGGGCTCACTTTTTGTCAAACCATCTTTTATTTTGCAGCGCGTCGATCATCACTTTAAAGTCGGCATACTTCACTGCAGAACCTCAGCGTTCATTGACTCCTTCATTCCTAGAACGTCCTCTGACTGGAACCACCTTTCCGCATGGTTAGTAAGTATACCATCAATTGATTGATTTAGACCTATATTGATAAATATTTTTTGCTAAAACATATTAGGCTGCATAATTTTTTACTTCCAGCCGTAGTACATTGTTGGCCTTTGTCCTTTATTTTGTGTGTTTTTTCTTGTGTATACTATTTTTACCCACACCCCTCTGTTATGCCCTTTGAGCCTTGAAGACATTGAAATAAATAAATGTCATGTGACCCAACGACCCCTAAATTATACTCGAGAGAGATGTCACTTCTGTGACCAAGTTTTTGTGACATCAACTTGCAACTTTGCGCCCCATTCGAAGAGCGAAGATAGACGTAGTTCTACGCCAAAAAAGGATACCTTGCGGAGCTTCAAACGGGTTCTTCTGGTAGTAGGCAGGTGCATAATACATGGGTAGTTTCCTCTCATTTTAGATGGCGCTTCCGTTTGTTAAATACGGAACGGTGTGCAGTGCGAAGTAGAAAGCGTATTTGTTTTACTGTACTCTGCAATTTTGAGTGTTTGTGGCGTAAAACCTGCTGTAGTTGAGTGCGAACACATTTCCTAGAGACACAGCTAGATTTTTTGAAGATGCATTGCTCTCGAGACTATGAGACAAAAAATTAAATAATTTTTGAGTCCCCATTTATTGACGACTTGTGATGAAAATTAAACTTGTGCCACTGTATCGGGGATTAGGATTATAAGTAATTGCTATCAGTTACTCCAAGCTTCTCGCTTATATTGATTTGAGAACCATTTACGGCTTAGTTAGTTCAAAGCTGATCGAAGGCCACTTTGAACAGGCTATCTATTTTTTTGTAGAAGCATTGAAAAGGGTGACATGTCTGTATACCCGAACGAAGAAGGTAATCCGACGAAACTTACCGACGTTGATGGGGTGCCCCCAGCCAACGACAGAAGCCCGGCGACCGGTCAAGTTCTTCATGGAGATTTCCCCAAGGGGCAGGCATACGGGCCTCACAAACTCGCTGAAGGGTACCTCTTTACTCAGCTCTAGCAGGGCCACGTCGTTGTTGTACGTCCGTACATTGAAGTTGGGATGTCTGTGAATTGCCTTAACGTCCACGTTTATCACCCGAGTGTCGTCACCCGTCGAGTGCAGGTCGACAACGCCCAGACGCACGCTGGGCAGCCCCGCTGGTTGCCTGCAGAGAAATAAGCAAGCTATCATCCACGAATCGATAGACTGCTTATACGAGAGATTTTGGTAGTTACTTTTCCTCTGCGTTCAATGACAATAACCACTCCTTCGCTGCAATGGGTTAGCTTGTTCTCTGCCGAACCTTCGAGTTTTATCCTGCTCTACTTCTCCGTTTGTTCGTAGGCGTCAATTGTGGTGCCTCAAAGGCGTCTCCGACTATAGTTGGTGGCAGGCTAAGATTTCTGGAAAAGCTGCTCCAACCTGTTTCCGTTTTACCAGTGCGAAGTATGGAGAAAAGGTCTGTGCCTCTTCTACAGCGTTCGCTCTGCTAAAGTGGAAACTGTCGGGAGGAACATCACCTGAACTCTTACCTTTAGCCGACTATAGTGTGTTTACCGCGTCCAATAAAGTGCATCGTCTCTTGATTTTTACATGATGAAGTCTTAGAGGAAGCCTCTTGCTGCCGGCCGCGATCCTTCCTGTTGGTGTCGGAGCTGCGGTGGTGGATGCGGCAGACACATCTTCTCTTTCATGTCGCTCTTTAGCTTAACAACACAAAAAAAATTGCGTTGCAGAATTTAGGGATCCTGGGTTCGATCCCCACCACTGCCCGTTTCGATCTGGATGAGCATCCTACCGGCTTGCGGTCGTGTATCGCTACTGCGTGGTGCACGTTAAAGACCCAAGGCTAGCGTTTGTACTGCACTGGCTAAATTGCTCATCTACAGCTTTGAGACAAATCGCCCATTGATGCATGCTACGTTCAGGCTGTATACAGTCGTGCGGCGGTGGTGGCGCGTCGGCGCCCTTCCGGTATGGGGTGGTGGGCGGAAGTGACCGTATAAGACATGCTTTACTGCTTTGTTCTTTTTCGTTTTTTTTTTTTTAAGAAATTAGGCAAAAAATGTGCCTTCTCGTCAAAACGCCACGGCGGGGACTGTACCAAGAGTTGTAAAAGGTTTGAAGGTCAGTTTTTGTGTTTCCCGCTGCTCGGTTCGTCCGAGAACGTGGATAGGGGCCGTGAAAAGGCAAACCAGACGCTGTGGAACTACAGTTGCTTGTGGGGGCAACACTTTGGGTTGAATTCACAGGTAGATGTGGTCGCCAGTTGTATTTGCTATGTTCCAACATGAAAGAGGGAAAACTGCCGAGCTCTCCGGACCACCCGCGGGTTCAGTGCGTCTTCAAATTCAAACGGCCGCCTGATCGTTCAAACTGTCGTCTGTTCTTTCAAACTTGTCTGCTTTTTGTCGTCTGCTCGTTTAAACAAAAGTGGCCCGCAGACCAAACTGACCCGGTGATTTCGATAAGAAGTAATTGTAGGCCTCAAAAAACTTAAAGGAGCTGTGCAACGATTTTAACGTTGAAAGGAATTGGCATCTTCTACTTTTGTTTTGCTCACCTTGACACAGAGGACAAAAACACAACTCCTTCCTTTTGAAATGTTGAGATTCCGCCACGTAATCGCGAGGCAAAAATTAGAATATTCCCCGACCTGCAGCCGCGAGCGGCGGCCATGAGAAACACGCGGCGTGACGTCATTGGGGGTCTTGTAGAAAGATAGCAAGTTGTGCGAATACCTGCTCGATAAAAGGTAACTTTTCTATAAATCTTCTCGTTCCAACATAAATATAAATGCGTCAAAAACCGGGTATCACCGACAAAACGTTTATTATACGGAGTTTTAGTGGCGCCACCTATCCTAGGTCCTTAAAACCGTCAGCTCTATCTGCTACCGGGAACAGCTGCCAGAAACCAGAGAGGGAGGGGGACAGGGCCGGACGGGTATGGCGGGACCCGGATGGAACTTTCTCCTTTCACAATATTGTTCGCGCTGCGCCCGCCAGCACGTGGTCACGCGGTCGCGAGCGGGTGAGTTCTCGCTGCTCACTGATGGATCTAGAGAGAGAGCTTCACCGGAACCCCGCGCAAACCCTATTGACATCACAGCGCACGTGACTCGGAAGATGGTGAAGGAGTTGAGAGGTGCCGGAAACCCCAATCTTTGTCTATTTTTAAAATAAAAACTAGGACATGCAAGCAGAAGCGGTTTTTTGTTCCTTACTTCAGAAAGGTCGAGACACTAACTGCCATATTATTTAATCAAAGAACTGAAACTGTTGCACAGCTCCTTTAAGTAGGCTCGGAGTAAACAGCAGATACAAAATGCTGATCATTGGTACCAGTGACCATCTCCGACTTGTTACGCCTGATTCACTCGGTCTGCTCCCGCTTCCGATTTTCAGTATCGACGTAGATCATCGCCGGTAGCGTCTACACTTTTACAGCACGAGCGACGTCGCGAACGAAAATAGCTAGAAGAATCTCATCATAGTATTGGCGTCCATCCTGCGACGTTCAAGGGAATGAATCGCTGCACGTCAAAATATTTGCGCAGCGTTTAGCGGCGTAACGAGCCTTGATAATTTCGCTCAAACGACTAAAGTGGTAAGACGAGACAAGACGACTACAGTGGCAAGATGAGGACGTAGAATCGCCAATTTCAACTCAAAATATGGCTTGGCAGCAGCAAACCAACATGACGCCTAAACTGTTCTTCGTTCTCGTGCAGCTGCTGATCATGGCATCCCCGTGGCCAGTCGACTACCATTCTACAAGTCACTTCGTCCAAGGAAACAACCACGCTACAGCGCTGATTGTAAACGTACACTTGCCGCGTGTGAACTTGCTGTCCTTAAACTTCACGTCGTATCGATAACCACTCCGCGTGAGACCCAGAGTTGCATCGTCACAAGTCACCAGACCATCTTCGACTACAGCGCCAGCGCCTCCGGGGTATAAAAGAGCGACTGAGGCCAGCATCCACCACTGGGCTTGGCAGCAGCAAACCAACATGACGCCTAAACTGTTCTTCGTTCTCGTGCAGGTTGGTCAAATTGATTCTGACTCTCACAAAAGCAATAACATCTGGCTTTTACTGCTGCCAAGCACCCAGGCATGTTCTGATTTCATTTCCGCTATAAGCTCCATAATCAAGTTGGCCTTGTCGGGCGATGTAGAACTGAACCCTGGGCCTACAACTCAGGAATTGCTTGCGCAGATTCTCGAGAGTCAAAACAAGATGGCTCAAGACGTAGCGGACATCAAAACGTGGAAATCGTCATTCGATCAAGCGCTTGCAAAACTTGATAATCGCTTAGATTCTATCGAACGGACGATTGAAAACCTGAGCATGGAAGTAAAAAAAATACAAGATTGCGAGGAGAAAATAACAGGTCTAACATCTTCCGTATCGCATATTGAACTGAAACTGGACGATCTTGAAAACAGATCACGACGCAACAACCTAATAATTTATGGTATTCCTGAGGTAGCTCAGGAGACCTTTTACGCTTTAAAAGAGTATGTAAGTGTGAACATCTTCGAAAGCATGCTAGGCGTCACGGTAACTTCCATCGGACGTTTGCATAGGCTAGGGAAAAATCAAAGAAACAAAGTGCGACCAGTTATAGTGCGGTTTTTTGACTACAATGATAAGATGGCCCTCTTGAAAAATGTTACGAAGCTAAAAGGTACTAATATCGCTATTGGCGAAGATTACTCTGTTCGTGTACAGTCATTGCGTCGTAACTTATGGGAGAGCTCCCAAGCCGAGAGAGCTAACAAACAAAAGGTTAAACTCGTCTATGATAAGCTCCTTATCAACGGTGACGCCTATGTTTGGAACTGTGATACTGCTCAGCGTGAAAGGCTGCATGCAGCTTCTTCATTTTCCCAACCTTGACGTCAACTTACAGGGCCAAGTAGTTTTAAGCTAATTAACGTAAATGCTCGTAGCCTTTTGAACAAGCTTGACGATCTTGACATTTTGTTAGCTGAGCATGACCCCGATGTACTGGTCATCACTGAAACATGGCTTCATAGCTCTATCAGTGACTCTGAAATTGTTCCCAGCGGATTTAAAATCATTCGAAAAGACCGGTGCTCTCGAGGTGGAGGGGTCGCAATAATGTTAAAAGATACGCTGAACTTTACGGTTATGAATGGTGTTGATGGAACCGAGTCTTGTTGGGGTAGAATAAACTCATTTTCTGCTCCCACTATTGTTGGTGGTGTTTATCGTCCCCCTAATGCTGACTTGTCGTTTTTAGAAAATTTATACTCACACCTCACGCCCATTGTAAGAAAAAATAAGCACGTTATTATTGCAGGTGACTTTAACCTTCCCAATATTAGGTGGGAAAATCTTTCTCCTTTGAACCACAACTGTACTGATTCTGTCTTGTTAAATGAAATGTCGTTCAATCTAAACCTGTATCAAACCGTGACTACAGCCACACGTGTTCAAGGTTCATCGTCAAATACTCTTGATCTCCTGTTTGTTTCAAGTGATGTCGCGAAGCGCACCTTTTCATGTGAGGTCTCGGAAGGCATCTCAGATCATCGCATTGTTGTTTTTGAATATAATCCCTCTAGTGTAGGTTGTGCTAGTCCTGCTCGTAGGAGCACACGCAGAGTGTACGATATTAAGAACGCGCTCGACGAAAGTGTTATTGACCAATTTGCAATTAAACATGACGTTTTTCTTAGTCTGTACTCTTCGCCAGAAAATAATGTTAACGAAATGTGGTTGTATTTCAAAAACCTAGTTCATGGGTGTTTGAATCTTTATGTGCCTAAAAGAACTCTCCGCTCCAAAAATCATAACAAACCGTGGTTAACGCCTAATATTATTCACTTAAAACGCAGAATTCATAGACTGCGCAAAAATAAACACAATCTTCTACTAGGAGAATATACTGACAAGATGAGGGAGCAAAAGCAGGTGTTAAACAATTCTATACGCAAATCCAAGTATAACTTTTTTAACGTCTCACTCCCTCGTATTTTAATAACAGACCCAAGGAAATTCTGGCGATACATTTCTCCCAAGAAGGAACAGCTAGATAAAATAATTGTTGACGGAGTAGACGTAACTGCGGGGAAAGAAATGTCCACCGCCTTTAACCAGTACTTTTCCAGTGTGTTTTCGCAAGACAACGG